AAAGCAGCAGATGGAAAGATTTCAGTGGTTTTATTGCAATAATCAACTCTATGTCCTTCCCTTTCCCAAACCTTGTCCCACCACAGGCTGGCACAGCATTTCAGAAGATAGTTTCAGAAAGGACAGATTGCTTTCCTTTACTTAGTTGTCACACATATTATACCAGTCATAATGTAGAGATTTTTGGTTGGAAAGCAGAAAAGGGTCAATGACAAAGATAGGAGCGTATGTAGCAGAGAATTAACAGAAGATAGAAAACAGAGGTAGAAGGAGAGTTAAAATTTTGCCCTTACAAAAGTTTCCATTATTTTGCTGTTTTTTTTTTTTTAGCTGAAAGCAAGATAGAAATTATACAAGGTAACTATAACTACCATCAGGTATGACTATCAGTTAAATCAATTCAGTGAAACAAAACACCCAGGGAATATCTGCTGAGTGCTAGCATGACAGTGGTTAATAGTTCATCCTCTAGATAGAGCTGTGCTGAGTTCAAGGTTCAGTTTTACTACTTAATGGCTGTTTGTTCCTGAGCACGGTGCTTAACCTTATTTTCCTCACAAGTAAAGTGCAGATGATAAAGTATATAGCACATGAGCTTGTTGTTAAGATTAAGGAGAGAATTGTGAAAAGTGTTTGCTAAGTCATTGTTAGGAGGCAAACATTGCACATGACACAGGATGCAAAGATGAGCTGACAGGCTAGTGGGAAGATAGATGCATAGATAGATCATGTCAATACAGTGATTTTTAAAAACTTCCAGATGAGGGTTGTCTTTTGAGTCACTCCTTCACTTGGACTGGGGTTGCTGAAGGCAGTCATGAGTTCTGAAATTAAGGTACTCAGACTCAAACCCATAAAATTATATGTACTTTGTAATCAACTGTATGACAATGGTGAGACTTCCATGTAGAGCTGTGGTATATGCCAGTTGAGGTGGCCTCGCTCTCCATAGGTTGACAGAAGAGGAATATGAGTAGGATGGGGAAAATGTCAATTATGATGATTTTTATATGAGAGTAACTGAGAGAAGGGAACTCACCCACTGTCTTTAACATCTGACATGCACCAAGCACTCTTTAAAACAGTTTACTCCCCACAGTCCATTGAATCCTCCAAGAAGTCTATGCTGTGCATAGAATTATCCTCCTTTTACAGATCATGAAATCGAACCTCAGAGAAGTAAAATAATTTGTCCAATGTCACGCAGCTGCTACATGGTGGAGCAAGAAAGCAAAGGATCTGCCCACCCCACCCCCCAAGTAAAAGGTCTTCACAGACAAAGCTGAACAAATAAGTGTGTTCAAATTCTTCAGCTTTCTAAGGGGTCTTGATTATAGACTTTTATTTGATATAGGCTAAGATCTAGCTGGTTTTGTTTTTGTTTTCATCAGGGGAAGTTCAAAGTAAAATATTACTTCATGACAAGTACAGTAGTTTTTTAAAAGTTTTAAGTAGAAATAATTGATCAATTTACAGAAACACCCTTCCTCCAATCTCCAATGTACTTCAAAACAAAACAAAAAACAGAGGCCCACTTTTCTGACATGTGTTAGATTTTGTCCTATCATGGGTTACATTCCTCAAGTTAGTTTTGATGCTAAAAGCCTTTTCAGGCAGCAGAGCTCTTAGAACAGGTTTATGAGGGAGCCGTTCACTCTCTGCTTCTCAGATAAACCTGAAAGGCTAAGTTTACTAACTTAAATCAGAAAGGCTAAGTTTACTAACTTAAATCATTTCCCACAGGACAGAGCAGAAAGAAAACTGAAGAAGAGGGGCAGTAGGAAAGCTTTTCCTTTGTAGCATACTCCTACCAATAGGAGAAAGTGACAATGACAGTAGAAACAGTGGCTTGAGACCAGCTTCAGCACTGCCCACGGAGGTACAAGAAGTACCTGGTCTTTCAGACACTCTCAGAGATGCCAAAAAAGGTCCAGACATCTCCTTCCTCACTCAATCCACCAGGGGGCGCACTAAAATATCACATTACTTTTCTGGGGACGACTCGAGTCCGTTTCTTAACCACTCGAAGCTTCAGCACCCTCATCGGAATAGGGAGTGATAAGGACTAAACGTAGCAGTAGATGTAAAGCTCCTGGCTCATGGTATGGCCCAAAACATAATAGCTTATCCCTTATTACCCACCCAAATAAACGAACACTGGAGTAAAAATAAGTTCACCTGGAAAGATCTAGCTTGCTCCGCAGGTCACAATTCTTCCAGGTTCACAGCTTGTCTCCTTGTGACTCAAGGCTTGTTGTCTCAGGAAAAAAAAGAGTTCTAGATTTCCATCTTCCCCAAATTTGCTGACCTCACATCTGCTTTTGCTGCTACACGTCAGAATGAACCACAATCTCATAATTAGAGGAGCTCCTTTGCAACTTGGTGCCAGAAAGGTGACTGGAGATCCCAGCTGTGAAACATGGCAGCCCATACTTACCAGTCCGTCATCTCGGGCTCGCCAGTATGAGGGGTAGAGGAGTCACTAATCTAGAAGTCGGGAGCCCTGGATTCCACTCTCACCTCCCTCAACTATCCCTTGCATGTCCTTAAGTCATTTTATGTCCTTGGGACATAGTTTCCCCATTGATAAAATGAAATGTTGAATTAATTGTTAATCTATAGAATCCCTTTAGGTTCGGATGTCCTGATGAAATAGAATACTATCAGAGCCAGGTATAATCTTGGAATGATGGATTACATACATTATTTGCAAACTTTATGTTTCTATTATTATTTTTTTAAACCAAACTAATTATACTGTTGTCAGTTGCTTCAGTTGCTATGAGCCTAGCTAGATAAATACTTGTTTTCTTATTGGCTCATTGGATTTTTTTTGTTCTATAGACCTTGTTAAACAAGTTAGGCCTGTTTTCAAATTTGGTTAAGGAGACCAGTTAACCTGAGAGATGTTAAGCTTTATCCCAAAACTTGAGCTTGATATTTTATACAAGCGTAACTCATAGGATACCATATTTATTTGTCTGACTACCTCAACCCCACCCTCTCCTTCTCACTAATATTTTCGACTCTAAAATTTAGGATATGGAGGAGAAAATGCAAGAGTATGGGTTCAGGCCCTTCACTATCCTCTGGGAACCTTCCCTCATCTTTTGGATCCATACCTCTGTGTACTAAATCACTATGATTAGCTAGATTTCCACAGAAGTCACGAGGCAAGTTCATTGGATCCAAGATGGTGGGATATTTCCCCGCTTCTTTCAGCACTCTACCATGGGGTCAAACAAGATTGCTGAGGTGTCTATGTAGGACAAGGAGAGGAAGATAATAAAGGCTGATGTGCAAGGTGTTTTTTCTAATTAGGACTCTGTATCCTTAGTTGTCAGAGTGGCACCAAAGCCTCTTGGGTCCCTGGCAAGAATGGGGGGCTTGGTGAACTCAGCTAACTCTGCGAGGGTGCCTTAGGGTGGGGGTGCATGGGGAGAGTGGTAATAGTCCTACCTCTGGACCTCCAGAGAAGACGTAAGGAAGGACAGAGTGATAGACAACTGAGGGAATGGCTTCCCTAGTCACCTTTTGTTTTAATTTATCCAGTTTTTCTCCTAAGACAAAGGGTATGTATTAATAACAGTTTAGAACACCGCAATTTCAAGAGCACTCAGTTATTCTAATTCGCAAACAACAGGCCTTTGAGATCAGCTGTGGTGGACATTTGAAACACTAATTTTCTTGATTCTTGCCAGTACACAAAGATGTCTTCTAGAGAAAGGCTGAATGTGCACCCAAAGAGTCCTCAGCAACATGGCATTTACCTGGTGCATTGATCACGGTGTAAGAGCCAGTCTTGGGCTGTGTGGATCCAGAGAAGAACCTAGGATAGGACCAGCATTAATCAAGTTCTCAGAGACTAAATATAATAAAAACTTCATGGATTAATTTATAGTGAAAAATACAGCTGTTGGGCCAACCAGAAGGCTTGAGTCAGCAGATAGGAACATTCTCTCTTAGTATGCTAATTATTTTGGAAGCCAAATTATAAGCAGAAGAGTAATCTATTCATTTAAAGTGAAAAATACACATTTTAAGTGAACCAGATGTTCATGTTAGCCCAGCTTCTCCTGAAAAATAAACTACATAGGAAACCAAATTAGTAGAAGATTGCTTAGGCAGTAAAGAATCAAAGAAAGGGTTATTTGCCAATCCTAAGGTGTGTCTTTCTGCAGCTTGAGGCCACCCCACGCCCCATGGAAGGAATAGTCTTGCCAAGAAAACTAGAATGCTCAAGTCTGGTGAGCTAAGCCTTTCTCTCCCTGCACTAGGCATGGATAGGCACTGCCAGTGCTGGCCCTGGCAGCTCTCCATTTTCATTGCTTCTGTTTCCTATGGTCTGTATCCAAGCAGGGTTAAAATACCAATAATTAGTTTTCTGCTTACTTTCTGGGATTATTCTCAAATGATCTCCATTGGAATTTTTGCAGTTCCAAAAACTCATTAGTTACACATTATAAACAATGTCTTAGTTTCCTAGCACAGACAGCTAATCCAATTCACTAAGTAGGGATTTTACTAGTTTAGCTCTTGAAAATGTTTTTGATTTTGTGAGCAGCGTTCCACTATTGAAAAAATTATACATGTGTGTGTCACAAATTTAGAAATGGAGATTCAGAGGAGCTGAGTGCCTTGCCCTGGGTCACTCAACTGGTGATTAGTAGAGCTGGAACTCAAAGCCCAATCTTCTGAGTTTAAATCCCACCCTTGTTCCATTGGGTGTAATTCAGTTTTCTACTATTAGGAAGTTTCATTTTGAAACAGGAAAGGAAATTCAATGTGGTTTTAAGAATTAACTTTAAAAACGTTAAGTGATATTTTTTTTCTAAATGGTGGGGGTGCATGAACGTGTAAAGTATGCAGTGGAGGAGATGAGAAGATGTAAATAAAAAGATCCCTCAGATGGCCTGCTGCAAGGGGCCACAAAGTCCAGGCACAGAGCGTCCAGAGACCTTGTCTGAGCATACACAGTAAGCGGATGTGTTTTGTTGCAGAATCTCAGTGTATTGGAGGCAAGAGGAAAAATCCTCCACTATCAAGTGACCTTGCTAGAGGTGGCAGGGGGGAAAACTACACTACAGAATATCACAGAACATACCTCCTGGACTTGGGTCATTCCCAGAACTGAGAGCTGGGCTGTGGCTGTGTCTGCAGCTAACTCAAAAGGCAGTTCCCTGCCCACTCGTATTAACATAACGGATCTGTGTGGGGCAAGTAAGTACCAACTTTTCTTTAATATTGCCTTTGGGAAACTGTGTCTTATCTCTTATCTTTTGCAGGCTCAGCTCAGGGCATGGCATGAGTAGGACAGGAATTTAGACTTTGGAGTCAATAGCTTTCAGAATCTGTCTTTTCCACTCAGACTATGAGTAAGTAGCCTTGGACAAGTGAATTAACACCTCTGAGCTTCAACTTTTGCCTCTCTAAAGTAGGGATTATATTACCTGCCTTGCAGGTCATTGTAAGATTAAATACAGAGACTAATACATAGCAAGCGCTTAATAAATGTTCATTAAGGAAATATTAGTTATATTACATCAAACACTAATATCTGGCTTATTTTTCTAGAAGCAAGAATAATATGTGTTGTTAAATTCTAGAGAAAAAACATTTTACACCTACAAACAAAATATATTTTGCCAATAGTATTAAAATAAAATTCTGGCTGTAATAAAACTATAGTAAAAATTTTCTGTACTATAGCTCTTTATTACACAAATTTAGATATGTATCTCATTATCTACACTGAAAACCTCCCAACTAACTGTATACATTTTATAGTTGCATTCTTTGAAAAATAACTTCTCCAGATAAAAGCCCATAGTCAAGAAGATGAGTACTAATGCTATTTATCAAGATCTGTGTTATAAAAGGATTTCATGTCAAGATTATTGGCCTAACTTTTTTCAAAAATGAATAATAGAATAAAACTATAATTAGATCCTCCCTTAAAATTCAGTGTAACGATTTTATCTACACGTGAATCTAGCAATCATCATTTCAAAGAAGCTTCTATGAAAATATGATTATTTTATACACAGTGTTAAACCTCATATATCTTTTCAGTTGCATATCTATAAACTCTATTATCTATAGATATAATAGAGTAGATGAAAATAACTAGAAGAAAATACAAGTAAATATTGATATAATATTGGGTTGGTATATGAGTTATGAATCGTTCTTAGGAGTAAGGGTTGCTTTTACTAGAGGCCTGACTACAGTGATTTATTTATTCTCACACATAAAAAAAGGTCAGAGGTAGACAAGCCAGGGCTGGTGTGACAGCTTTGTGACAGCATCAGGACTCCAGGCTCCTTCTTTCCGTTCCCTCTGCCAAATTGGCTTTAATCCTTCAAGATGAAATTGGTCCATGATGGCTGCCAGAGCTCTAGCTATTTCCATCTAAGAAGCAGAAAAGAAGGAAAAGAGAAGGGCTCATTTCTCACTGTTGAGGAGCTTTACCCCAGGTCACACAACACACTTGCAGTCATTGAGTCTAACTGGTCACCTGGCCATAACCAGCTGCAAAGGAGGCTCAGAAATATGTTTCAGACTGCAACGTTCCCTTGCTAAAGAAGATGAGGAGAGAATATTCGATAAGCAACTGGCAATCTCTGCCTCATGTGGGGTAGGCACTAAAGACAGAAACCTGAAGGAAAAAATGGATTAACTATGGGGGGAAAAAGCTTAAACTTTCTGCATAGTAAAATAAAATTTTTTAAAACACTATAAATTAAGCATTAAATATAAATAGCAATTTAAGAAAAGTACATATCTCATTTATGGCAAAAGGAGAGTTATCCATCTATCCATCCAACTTTTTAAATAAATAAGAAATAATGGGATATGGATAGGCAATTCTAATAATAAATATGAAAGGAGCAATAAAGATACGAAAATATGTTCAGCCTAACTAGCAATCAATGAGATGCAAATTTTGAAAAAACAGGAGAAACCAAATCAAACTAAGGAAGAGTAGGTAGAATCAGTGTAACCCGTATTGGTGAGAGTGTTGGAAAAAGATAATCTGTACCCTACTGGTGTGTGTGTGAATTGGTACAACTTTCTGAGGAACAGTTTGACCATATATAACAAACTTTAAATATGAATGAATCTTTTGACCAAGAAATGTTACCATTAGAAACGTGTACTTAGCATATAATAGGATAAGTGCTTAAAAATGCAGGTGAAAATACGTTTGTTGAAACAAACGTATTTTGAAAAAGTAAAATACCACAAACAACCTAAATGTGAAATAATAGAGAATGAACTGGTTTAATATATCCTGACTCTCACCTGCCTTAATTCTACACTAGCATTAAAGTGATGCTGTAGTAGTGTTTTTATTAACATGGAAAGAAAGCCATAAACTTTCAATAGTGTATACAGGACGATGCCATTTAAAATATATATTTACAGGAGTATACATTTTTTACACAGTTAAAAATCTAGTAGAATATATATAAAAATGTTAACAGAGGTCATCACTGCATTATGGAATTACAGGTGATTTTCTTTCCCTGTTGCTTTTTATATTTTTAATTTTTTTCTTCACTGGATAAGTACTACAGATATGATTTTTAAAGTAAATTCTGTGGGGGAATCTGAACTCATACCACTGTTTAGTATCCTTCCGTTGTTAAAATGTAATATATCAGAATACTTCAAACCTCACTACAGATGAGTGTTAGGGATATAAACCTCATGAATTTTCTGGGCCCCTCCCAAGTTCTTTATTTAAATTTGGTAACAACTTCTCAAAACGACACATTCATTATTTTAGAGTTGGCCTCTACTTTATTCATTCAGTTGTCCTTTACTAGAATCCAGCAATAGGTGAAAAATACTGTTGAGGTTCTCTAGTTATATTTAACCAAGCGGGAGGGGCAAACATATAAGCAAGTTGACTGTAGTATAGTATAAGTGTGAGATCAGAGGTATGCACAGTGAGCTCTGGGATAGAAAAAACTGAAGCATGGGCTTGGAGAGGAGGTGACATGTGAACAGTGCATGGAGGGACAAGTTGGTGTTAGCCAGGTGAGAGTGCAGGCGTGCAGGCCTGAGGGTTTGTTTTAAAGGGGGATCTGATCAAGCATATAAGTTGAAAAAAAGAATCAGGAGTGGGGAAGAGTTGAAGATAAAGGGGAGAGGGGATAATTGATGGAATGAGGCCCCCAGGGAGCTTGAAAAATGATGACATCCAGCGACGAAAAGAGTTTAAGAAACACTTCTTCCTCTCAGAATGGGCAGGTGTTAAGTAAGGATGAGGCTCACTAAGTATGAACACATAGGGTAGATAAGGTAGGACACTGAAACCGTTCTCTACAACTGAGCTGTCGCTACGAAGGTCTTAGTCCTGGAAGTCTTGTATTCTTAAGAGCCTTTTGCCTCTCCTAAGACCATACCTGACCCATCCAATACTAGTTGCTGTGCATCTCGGAGTTTCCTGAGAACAAATTGTAAATCAATCGCATAATCCTATCCTCAGTCACTCATCTCACACGTATTTTGAATGATCTGTAGGAATAGCATACCATGATTTTGTGTCTCCCTTTTAATATATGTTCACACTACTCACATATATTACTTTCCTTTTAGGAAGGGGAAAATAATGCCCCAACAGGCAGAATTATGTTGATTTTAAGAAAGTAGAGACAACTATATTGTAAAAGGCACCTGGCATAGCATTGCATATCAAGAAGCACAAGAATGATTTTGTTGATTTGTGATGAAAATTGAATGTGTGCTAAACCCACCAGCCAACAAGTAAAACATAATTAATATTTCAGATGAGTCCCTGTGCTCCAGAATTCTTGAAACTATGGGAAAAGTTAGAAGCCAGTAGAATCATAAACGGGGCCCACACAGATGTCAGAGACTGAGAGCCCAGGAGGTGAAGTAACTTAGCTAAGATCATACATCTAATCGGTGGACAGAAAAACTCGGCCACCTGTCTCTTAGGCACTTTTCAAACTACCTTACAAATTTCATAATTCTATTTAGAAGCTCTCAGTGAAGATGGAGATGGAAAGTTGAATGATTGAGGCTAAAGAATTACTGTTAAAAGATCCCAGAGAGACAGTGAGTCGTGAGCAGAGATCTGAAGGAGAGAACAAGCCCTGGCAGACATCATAGGGGAGGAAATCCAGGCTGGCTCCTGGCGAGTGTGGTGACTCAAAGGCAGGGCAATGCCACATTGATTTGCTTGGCTAATTCCAGAGGAAGCAGTGGTTAGAAAGCCTTGTTGGCTATTTTAGCCCATCCCCTGCAAAGGGTCTTATGAACCATAGGTGCTCAATAAATATTCACCGAATAAATGCATTTCATTCAAAAAAAGTTCCTGGCATAGCCAAGACATCAGATATCAAGGCAAATGAAGATAAAGGAAACATGGCTGTGGAATTCCAGTTCCTGAGAGCCAGTACATAGGTTACAGGCTCTCACCACAAGCCCAGTCCTAAGGATGCCACAGGATGGCTGAGTGCCTGTGCAATGGGGAATAGTGATAAAGGCAGAGGGAGGAATTAGCACTTTCTGATTGCACTCCTTTTTCTTGCCCATGTTGCTCTGATACGGTCATTGTCTGGGCATTTCTACTATGAGGCAGAGAATTCCTGAGAGCAGAGTAGAGCATCTTCTAAGAAGCCCTGGAAACTAACTGGGGAGGGAAGATGAGAGCAAAGAGTGTCTGCGAGTGGGCTGGCCCTTGAGATTTCTCTTGTCATCCACCCCATGAGCCTGGCAATTATAAAAGAAAACAACAGCTCTACTCCCCCATGAAGAGTAGTCCCAGAATGGAAAGGTTAATTGTTGAAATAAAGAACTCAGCCATTAGGCTGGATAGCAGAAAGGACTCAACAGAAGATCGAATGAGTGAGTGGAAGATCGGGTGAGAAACTCTTCCTAAGGGCAGAAAAGCAGGGAAAGTAGTTGAAAAATGAGAAAACTTAAAACACTGAAAGAATTGAAAGAGAAGTGATGACAACCACCTAAAAGGAGTCCCAGTAAGAGAATAAAGTAAATAAAAGAGAAAAGAATACTTGAAAACACTTATCAAGAATCTTACAGAATGTGCCCCTCTGGTGCAGGATGTTGGTAGTCAGGGAGGTTGTGGGGGGCAGTAGAGGGTGGGAGGGGTCACATGGAAAACCTCTGTGCCTTCTGTTCATTTTGCTGTACCCCTAGAACTGCTCTAAAAAGTCTATTTTTTAAAAGCCTCTGCAAAAAAATAAAAACAATGCAGAATAATCGAGCAAGATTGATTCTAAGAATATAAAGATGTAACATATCAGAAAAATACATCAATGTAATATATCACATTAATACTGAAAAGAAACAACGGGACACGTTCTTAACAAATGTAGAAAAAAGATCAAGTTTTTAAATTTTAGAAAATAAACAGTATTTTATAAAACTATAACCTATATGGGAACTATGCATTTAAAAAACTTTTTATTTTTTAAGACTTTCTAGCAAAAAACATGCAGCAAACATCAACTTAGTAAAGATATATGGGCACATTCTCTTTTAAATGAGCAACAAGATAAAAACAAAAAAGAAAAGACTTCAAGATTGGACGGAAGAGATATTTTAACTATGCAGCTAATAAGATATTACATGGAGAATTCAACAAGGGCAGTAGAAAATTAGAACTAATTAGAGAGATTAGCAGGTTTGCCAGAAAAAAGAATAACACATATATATTAATAATAGAAAAAGCGGTGGAAAAATCAGATGCCGTTTATATAGCAAACTAAAAGTGTAAAGTGTCTGGAAATTAACAAAGAATTCATGAAAACTTTAAGAAGGAATTTTTAAACTCCATTAAAAGATATAAAAGGAGAGCTGAATAATTTCAATGAAACGGCATGTTTATGAATGGAACATTTAACATTTAGCAGCATCAATTCTCCCTGAAATACACTATGAATCTAACTTATTCTAGCAAAAAAAAAAATACCAGCTGGAATTTGGAGAGATAAACTGATTCTAAAAGCTACATGGAAGAAGAAAGTTTTATGAATATCTAAAATCATTTTGAAAAAATAAGAGCAAAATGAGAAGAGGATTTTTCCCACCAAAACGTCAGACATCGCAAAGCCCAGTAATGTGAACAGTGTGTTCTGGTGAAGAAGCTGACCCAGACACAAATCCAGTGATATACATGGAACATGGCGTATGTTAGGGATGGTATCACACTTGGAAAAATTGACTCACTGAGTGGAAAAAATTAATAAAATTTGTTTCCTTAAAAAGACCTTTGAGCTGCATTTAGATTAAAAAATTAAATGTGAAAGGTAAAACCAAAAGCCAATAAGAGAAAATGTGGTTAAGTATCTTTGTGAACCCAGGATGGAAGGATTTCTTTCATAAACAAGACTCGAACTGCACAAACCATAGATTTACCTACATCAGAGTAAGTATTTATGTGCAACGAACACATCATAAAGTTATCAGAGAGTTATCAGGCGAAAAATTGGAGTAAGATATTTTTAGTTTTGACAACTGACAAGTGACTAATACCTAGAACATAAAAGCTATTTCTGCTAATCAGAGAGAAGACAGGAAACTCAGAAAAAAATGAACAAAATATATGAACAGGCAGTTCACAGAAGGAAAAAGTCAGATGACTAGTAATATGTGAAGAGAAGCTCAGTCTCATAAGAAATCAGAAAATGAAAATAAAACCACAGTTAAAATACCACTTTGTACGTACCAGATTGTCAAAAATTAGAAAGTCAGAAAATACCAAGTGTTGGTGGGGAAATAAGAACTCTCAGGCTTTTCTTGGATTGTCACTGATTGGCTATTTTAGAGATCAGTCTGGCCATATTTGGTGACATAAATGAATTTACTCTATAATTGAGCAATTCTGTACATATATAGCCAGAGACACTCTTGCACAGGCACACATGAGGACATACAAGAGAGTATTCATTACATTCTTGTTTGTGTTAGTGTCAATGTAAGAAAGTCCAAACCCGTAGAGAATTTTTATGAGTTTATTTGAGCCAAACTGATGACTCAAGCCAGGCAGCAAGATCTCAGATGCTCCTGAAAATAACTTTTGCAGCTTCTTTTATGCATTTGAAATTAAGGAGGGAATGTAAGGAAGATTACATGAAGATGGGAGAAAACAAGGCGAGAACTGGATTAGAAGATTATGGGCTTTCTTAAGGCTGGTTATGCCATCAAAGGTTCTTAATCCTGGCATCTCAAAGGTGTGTTAGCCTAGATGCACAAGAATAATGAGCAGGGCTTGCTCAAAATCTTTCACTTAAGAAGTTTTAGATCTGGGGCGTGACCTGCCCAGTTGGGAATTTATGATTTATTACAGCACCCCTTTTCATCCACATTAGTAAAAGGTTGGAGAGAACCTCTTGCTTGTCATTTGGAGACTAGACAAAGTAGGGGTTGAGGCAGCAGTCTAAAGGAATGAGCTGAATTTACATATAGCAGCAGGAGGGCTATATCCTAGAAACATAATGTTCATGAAAAAAAAGTTAGAAAAAGCATTAGATTTACTCCCAAAGCAGTTCATGAAAATACAGTACACAAGCACAAAGCAACATTAAGTTTCAAGGATACATATATGTCTAAACATATAGAAAGTGGGTTAGAAGGATGCATATTACATTCACTAGAGTAGGTACCTCTGGGGACACAGAAATGGAAAGTGAACAAATAACACTACATAGGGTCCTTGCGCAAGCTGACGATGCCAGTTCTCCAAGAACTGAAAAGTAGGATCAACTTAAATCTGTAAACCCGAAGTCTTTAAAAAGAAATTGATTCTTCCTAAAACTTTGCTAAGATGAATTGGTGTGTTTTAGATCTTTATCCGCTGTGGTTTGTTTTCGTCCCTTCCCCATTTCCCCCATAAAGGCCTGCTGACTCCCGGCCAAGTCTCTGCAAACTCAGAGGGTGCGGACAACATTATGGTGACCTGGGATCCTCCCGGAAAAGCTGCCTCTGCTGTCAAGGAGTACGTGGTGGAGTGGAGGGCGCTCCACTCAGGGGTTGTCACGCAGCCCACTCTGAACTGGCTGCGGAGCCCCCCCGACAACATGGCTGCTTCGATTTCCGGTATTTAATTGCTTACCTTCCTTCTGGAGGGTTACTAAATTCACATTTATTGAGGAAATTGCAGGCAGTAACCTAAAACCCTGCCTTGAATTATGGGTAGCTACGTGAGAAGAAGGGTAGTGATGACCTAGGGTCCATCAGGACAGCACCTCAAAATACAACACTGCAGCTATAGACCAGGCAGTTGACTAAAAACTCTAGTATTTATGTGCCTGGCACAGTGCCATGTAAAGTGAATGAATAAACCAAATGAACATGGCTGAGAGCCAAGTAGTAACCAGTCGGTGTGATGGGCACCTTACATTTGGAAGTTCATTTAATTCTCAGAACGATAGTGTGCAGCAAGAGTTATCATGCCCAATACATAGGTGAGGAAGTCTGAACTTTCATTCCCAATTCTGCTACTTATTTTTTGTGTGATAATAAATCCAGAATCATCTATATGATGATTGGTGCCACTAATCCTCAAATGCCAGATCTGTCAGTGGTTACAATCGAGTTATTGAAAGCATCTGAAAACATATTAAAATGATTGGGCAGAACTTAGTGTCATTTTTAAGTTCAGCATCATGGTTAAAAGTGCTGGTTCAGCAACCAGACTGGGTTTGAGTTCCGGTTCTGTCACTTACTAGGTCGTGTGATCTAGGGCAGATTACTTCTCTCTGCTGCGGTTTCCCTGTCTATAAAATGGCAATAATGATATTATCTAACTCATTGGGTTATTGTAAGAACTAACTGAATTAATACAGAAAAAAAACATTTTGAACAGTGCCTAACACACTTTGTTTGATAACTTAGCTATGATCGCTATTATATGTAACGGAGCTAATTATTATATGTAATAGAGCCAAAATGAAATAAACAGAGCACACCACATGATAATACATGAGCTGGTCCTTGACTGTGTGCCTCTTTCATAGTCTAGCTGCTCAGACTAGTGGGTTGTGTTTAATTTTAATCACTACACTTAAAGAGAATACTGCCCAATGAGAAACAAAGGAAGGTAAGCAAGTCACTGGGGTTCTGGAACTTTTAATGTGGAAAGCACATAGCCTGTGGAAAAGAATTCTAGGTAGGGGTGGGGTGGTTTGATGGCTGTTGCTGGCTTTGACGTGCACATGACAAAGAGTATGTGTTCTTTGTTGTCTTGGAGGATAAAACTAAGGCCTCTGCATTGAAATTAGAAGAAGGCAGATGTCGGTTCAGTTTTGATAAAGAATTATCCTCACCTGTTATGGTCTCTAATAGGACAATTGATTGTCCCTAGAGGTGTTGCAGTAGAACCAATTTTCCTGTAGGGCTGTTATGCCCATCAAATCAGATGAAACAGTGGATAGAAAAGACATTTAGTGAACTCTAAACGGCTGCAAAATTGTAAGTGCTTACTATAAACTAGGATTTACCCTTGTGAGATAGTTTGAACCCTGTAGTCTGTACAGTGCCTTCCTTTTAGAAACTATAATTCTACACAAATACTATAAAATACATGACAAGACAGAATGTTTTTCATATTTAGAAAACTAAAATGTTTTTAAGCATTTTAGAAATATTCATTTGAATAAAATCAATATGATAGTGGGTGAAATAACTTTATTAATTGAAGTTATTCTCCTACTTGAAAATACTATTAGTTTGTGTTGATCTTACATTCCTGAAATAAACTCATAAAAAATTAAGTAATTCACACTTATCATGAATTCAAAATGGCCCTCTCCAGTCAATAAGATGACTCATTACTGTCGTACCCTCAGCATCTGGCTGGGGCAGAGCAGGGTGTTTTAGAGTGGACCAGACACAATTAATATGTGGGGAGCAGACACAATTAAGGAGAGTTCATTTAAGACTTAGCCAGTAAAACAGGAGTCCTTAAGACTCCACTAAGGATAGGCTGTTCACAAGAAGAAACCCTCAGCCTATGATGCAGTAGTTCCCCACTCTGAACTCACATTTTGCACAGTAAAATGCAATGAAACACTTGCCTCGTGAGCTCATCTGGAACTCCCATGCGTCCACATGGCACAGTGGTTGGTTCAGCCCTTCCATGACTAGTGGCAGAACAGCCAGGCACTATGACATGCCCTTGGGGCTTCTGGGTCTGGATGTCGCCCATGAAGAATCTTTGGATTACTGGACTAAGCTGACTGCAGCCTTTTCCCCTTTTCACTTGGTTCATAAATATGAATTGGAACTCACCCAGTGGCCTTATTCTTATCTCCTTATGGTCTCTCTGACAAAACAGTTTGTGTGTTTCAGCTTTATATGCTGCCGGTTGGGTTTTCATGTAAAACACACACGATTTAGTAAATTATTCTGTGAAGTAAAATTCCTCTTCTCAAAAAAGAAAATGTTAAATCTTGACCAACTGTCAGTGGAAGGGGACCAGACCCACTTATGGCAGGGCATCAAACAATATAGGAGAGAGTCCTTTCTTTGACCACATGATACTGTAGTTACTTAGTAAGGATTATCTTTTTCCTTTAAATTTTCATTGGAAATTTAAAGATACATCATGGGCAGTATCTCAGAGAGGAGCCTTTTCTTTATAGGAAGTAGAAATCCTGTAAATGAGTTTGGGCAGGGAAGAGTGACTTGCCAGTAAACTTCCTGATTGATAGAACATTTCAAAGTGTGGTGCTTTAAAAGCTAGGAAGGAGCATTCCCATTCTCAGGTATCTTCCAAATCTTCCAGGCTATGAAGCAGCTGAGGTCTAACTGGAACGTGGTGGTGAGAAGTAGAGGAGAAGGAACAAGGGGTCAGATTGCACTGAGCGTGCTTTGGTTAGTCACGCCTGAATGTGTCATCCTGCCCTGTCAGATCCTGATAAGCATCTATGGAATTAGAAGAGCCTTCCAGGTTCTAAGCCTGCAAAACCCCAGCCTCACTTTTCTGTAAACAGCAAATGATTTATTTATAGAAGTCAAAGTTTTTTCCTTGAAAAAGAGTTTTGTTTCAAAAGCTGCCTGTACAGTTAAATTGAAATTCTCATTGGAACTAAAATAACTTTTGTCTCCTCAATCATGATGACCCTGGGGTGAGGGGGGGCGGAAAAAACTCAGATTTGATTATTTGTTCACCATTAGGTGAATTTGGGAGTTGGGAGCAGTCGCTTCCAGAAGCTGGTGCCACGGCAAATAGGATAACTGAGATTTTGTAACTTAGGTCATCCTTTACCCTCAGTCCAAATTGTACTTGAGCCATCTTCAAACTAAGGCGAGGCAAGGAACGCCTTGAATGCGTCTGTATCGGCTATTAAAATGGCTCCTTTAGTGACTCACATGTGATGCCACACCTGTTATAAGAACTTTTTCCTCACAGAGAACATAAGACCCTACGTCTGTTATGAAATCCGGGTGCATGCATTGTCAGGGGACCAGGGAGGATGCAGCTCCATCCGGGGTAACTCTAAGCACAAAGGTGAGTCTTGGGCTCTTTTGCCAAATTCTGCTTTAGTTTAATGATTTGGAATTGGAGGATGACAAAAAGGCTCCTGTGTTCTATTTTATAGCACCAGTGAGTGGCCCTCACATTAATGCCATCATAGAGGAAAAGGGGAGCATTTTAATTTCGTGGGACGAAATCCCAGCCCAGGAGCAAATGGGCTGCGTCCTCCATTACAGGATATACTGGAAGGAACAGAACTCCAGTTCTCAGCCTCAACTTTGTGGTATGTGTGAGAAACAAATGCCATGGGGCCTTTGTTGTTCAGATGCCAGGAGAACACAAGCATATGCATGTGCATACATACACAAAGTGCTAGTACTATGCCTCACACTTAGTAGGTGCTCAGTAAATATTGTGAAATTAATTGAATGAAGAAAAATAAAAGACATCTAAACACACAGTTACCGAATATATTTTATGTGCCAGACAGATTGAAGGAATGAAGCTAATGGACTGGGCTCTCAAGGAGCTTACTTATATGGGGAGACAGCGTCTCAAAAAGCAATAAAGGCACTTCAGTCCTATTATTAGACCCTTGAGGTTTGCAAGGAATGTGTTTGGAGGATTTTTGAGTCCCCGCATTTGCAAATACCATCACAGCATAGTCTTTTCTCCTCAAAATGGATACAATGCAATGCAATTTAAGTAATTCCTTATGACCTATAATTATTCTATAAGACTAAAGCCATTAAAATAAATATTGGCTGGAGTATTATCTCAGATGGCTTCACGGATCACTCATTCATGTAACAGCTCCAAGTCACTTGCCAGACTTGATGTTCTAATCTTTTATTTATTCAGATTCCCCTCCCCTCTACCTCCGGCTTTCCCTTTGCCTTCTTTCATAGGGCAGCTTTCTTTCTTTCAGGAGAATTTAGCATAAGAAGCAACATTTTCATTTCTTCAGGAGAGCTAGGTCCAAGAAGACTGTAACAAGGCCACTGTGAGACGTGGGTGCAGAATGCTGCCTGCAAGAGTGATTTTTACTTGGGAGACTTTAGGAATTGGTCCCTTCTCTTGACCTTAGAAGATCTGCAGTGTTGCTTTTCTGAGTTATGACTTTTGGTAAAAACATTCAAATAGTTCAGTAAGATATAAAATCAAAATTACCCCTTTCTGTATACTTAGGCTGTTAGTAGTTCTTTGTGTGTTCTTCCAGAAAAAATTTAATGCATATATGAGTATATATTTAGAGTAATCATCTGTATTCTGATCTGCACCTTGCTTTTATCTCTCAGTAATACATACTGAAGGTCTTTCCACGTCAGTCCATATGGATTCGCCTCATTCTTTTTAACAGCTCTCTAGTATTCCATTGTAAGACTTTTCTGCCATTCATTCAACTAATCCACCATTGATAAATAGAATGTATCATTGAACATAACTGCTTCCCACTGGGCCTGACAGGGTAATTCAGTTCTGAAAAGCCCTTTAAAAGGTAATGAATCGGTTGACCTCTTTGTGAGCCATTTCGAATTCTTCATGTGGAATTTGCTCCCTGTCACCATTTTCATTTTGGCAGCACTTAAACTGAGATGCCTATTCACACCCAGATAGACCAACATGGTCGTTTGGTTCTTAAAGCTGCTCTTGCAGATATTGAAGAAAATACTGACCTTATTTTGCCAAAAATCTGATGAATATAAAGTCTATATAAGAGTATTTTTAAATAAGTTAAAAGAGAAGAAGGCATCGATTCAAAGTTCTGTTTTATACAGGTTTCAATTAAATTTTCCTTCGATTCATTAAGCACTTATAGATGAATGAGACCCATTCCCATATCTTCACAGAGCTCACAATCTATTGAAAAAGAAGGAAAAGTACATAAAAGTGATGTAATTGTTATAATCAAGGATTGACAGCTATCTATTGCATTTGGCCACCGGAAATCATAGGTGAATTCACAAGTGCAGCTTCTAGAGAGTGATAGGGGGCAGAAGGTTGAGGGCGGAAGACACCAGGAAAAAGAGGCACCACGAGAGCAAAGGGGGATGGAGTTCCAAGGAGGAAGGGGCACTGTCGTACCTGTCTCGCGGCACCGTCCGCCAGGTCCCAGTACTAATGGCACATGCGGGAGCATCTAGCCCTGCCTGGGCAGGAGGAGAGAGGTGTAGACTGGGATGGGGCCCAGGAACCTGCATGTTAGTGCATTCCACAGGTGATTCTGGTACACAGCCTCTCCTCTGGAAATTTGTTGGTACTGCTGTGTGCACCAATGGCAAGGGCCCTTCTCTACTGGTGCATGCATTATACTTTGTTACTGCTTGGCTGTTTTTGCCCCCAGCGGATACCATGGCAATTCGTTACCGCTGTCTCTGCTGTACTTACAATACAGCCAGGCACACAGTAGGTGCTTAATAAAAACAGTATTTGTTGAATAATTTGTTGATTACCTCCCTACACTTTGTCAAACCAAAGTAGATCGTTAGGGAAAAACTAATTTTCAGTAACAATGCAGCTGTTTTGCCCGATACCACTTGGCCTTCTTACCCATTGCCTGTCAGGTGATTGGCAACTATCACATCTTCCCAAACTGGTGCCTTTGTCCTTTAACAACCCTGAGCCTAAAGTATCAGATGACCAAGGATTGAATGCCCCCTTTTATCTGTTCCTGAGATCACAGCCCAGACCAAGGCAGCAGAACCAGTATTTCCTGTATATTTTTTTTCCCCATTACTCAACTCAACCTATTTTGCCAACCAAACTGCTGACACCATCACCCTCCCTACTGCTTCTCTCATCGAATTTCCACTTTTATTCTTCAGATATACATGTGTGTGTAAGTGTGTTTATAAACTTCTTGGCCCAGCAAACCGTTGAAATCCCTTCCCTTCTGTTCTGACATCTCATTTCACTCCTGGAGCTAAGGATGCCCTGACACAGTCACACAGTTGACTCTGATGCTCACTGATGCTTTGCTGCCACAAAATGAGCAGAAGCTCTCTCCAAAATTAATTTTTTAATCTCCTGCCTTAGGAATAAGAGATTTTTTTAGTTTAATCATATGGCTTAAGTCTGCAGAAGCAATTTTATCAGGTTATAGTAGGCTTGGGAATTTTCCACACTACTTTCTCAACAGGATGTAAAATACAGAAATTGCTCTGATAGTCACAGCTGTTAAATGATCTGCTCAAACCTCAGTCCCTTTAGGTAGAGTGGATATGATATTACAGGGCTCTACCTTGCTGGTCATCCACAGTAAGCAGGGCTGGGAAGGATAAAGAGTCTGTTTTCTCCACTAGATGTGAACTCTTTGAGGCAAATACTGTATTTTTGTATAAATGGTGCCTTGTGCAGAGCAGAGACCCAATAAATATTTGTGACTGTTGAAATAAATTCAGGGAATGGGCATCATCTGACTGGCCTTTGGGTTCGTGAGCCAGTAAATGATGTTGAGGCACAAAGTGCCGAGTTCTAGTTTCCACTTTGATCACCAGCACAGGTGCAAGTCTGCTTGCTGAGCAAGCCAGAGATTACTCCTGCTGTAGTTCTGGCCTTGACTTTATAGTCTCCCCCACCACACACGCACACACATACACAGCTTTTGAGAGGCCACTCAAAATCACATCCAGCAGACCACTGGAGGAGAAGTTTGTCTTTTTACTGAAGACTACTGACCCTCATGTTTCTTGGAGTAGAAAAACATCACTGCATTGCTTAAAAAAAAAATAAAAAATCTTCCCTGCTGAGAACCTGCAGGGGTGTTGAGAGCATAAGGAACGGATGATTTAGGCTTAAACTGCCAAAATAAATCTAATCTTAAGTACCATTGTTCTGCATTTTAGATTTTGTCGGATTGTAGCAGATCATCATTTTAAGCCCACTAAGCCCAGTACTCAGAGCCTACAAAAAAAGTAGAAAATCAAAATTAATAAATGTTGCTTAAATATCTATTTCATTAATTGCTAAACTTAGCTTTCTTAAAAATTTCACTGAAAACTATTTGTACATTTAATTTCCACCCCAAGACTTCTCAAATATACCTGTTAAATGCTAGAAACATTATAGTCATAGGAAATAAAAAGAGTTAACTACAGCTAAATTTCAAAAGCAAAATGATAAAAATTCTTTCAAACCATTTTACCACAGGAAAAATATTTAATTCTTCTGATATGCTGTGAAGTGGGGCCTCTGTAAATGAGTGTCTAGAGTCATCTAAAGTGTTAAGTACTAATGAATTAAGATTGTTTTAAACAGTAATGTGCTTTTCTCTTTCAAATTAAATGAAGCATTAACGAATAAAAATGAGTAAAATCCTACATTCAAATATATCTTTTAATATGTGCCTTACTTCCTTTGTCTTTATTTTCCTTTCAGAAATTCCCTATGGGGTCTCTCCAAATTCACATCCAATTGACAGCCTACAGCCCAGAGTCACCTACGTCCTGTGGATGACAGCTCTGACAGCTGCTGGTGAAAGCCCCCAAGGAAATGAGAAAGAATTTTGTATGCAAGGTAAGAAACAACTTTAGAGATGGAGGGTCTACCCTGGATTCTAACACAAGTTTATACTCCCACTGCTTCTGGCATAGAGGTTATCAGATTTTCGGTTATCAGATTTTCTTTAATTCACTCATTACTTTCTTGCTGCTACACCTTTGTACTTGTTTCCTCTAAGTGGACTTCCCTGCCATGTCATTGTCTGCCTGGAGACAGTGTCTTCTCATTTTTCAAAACTCAGTGTAATTGATTCTTCCTCCAGGAAGCCATCCTAAATGCACCTCCGTATTTCCTTTATAATGTATTACATTTGACCCATATTCAAAACTCTAAATCCAATAGGCAGGGACTGGAATCTGTTTATCTTCAAAGTCTAGAATGGTGCCCAGCACATAGTACTTGTTCACTAAATGTCTGTTTAATGAATGATGAGAATTATCTCCACAATAACAATAGCAGCCATTGCATATCAAATAGTTATTATGTACCACTGTGTTAAGTGCTTTGTGTACTATATTAGTTTGCTGGGGCTTCTGTAACAAAGTATCACAAACTGAGTGGCTTAAACAATAGAAATTTATTTTCTCACAGTTCTGGAAGCTGTAAACCCAAGATCAAGGTGTCAACAGAGTTGGTGTCTTCTGAGGGTTATGAGAGACCGTTTCATGCCTCTCATCTTGCATCTGGTGGAAATCTTTGGCATTCCTTGGCTTGTGGATCTCTGCCTTCATCTTCACATTGAGTTTTCCTGGTGCATATCTCGGTGTTCAGATTTCCCCCTTTCATAAGAACACCAGTCATTTTGGATTAGAGGCCACCCTAGTCTAGTCTGACCTCATCTTAATTACATTTACAATGACCCTATTTCCAAACAAGGTCACGTTCTGAGGTGCTGGTGGTTAGGACTTCAACATATGAACTGAGGGGAAAAGGGAGAGGACAAAATTCAACCCACACAATACACACTTCTACTCATTTAATCCTGACCACAACCATGTAAAGTGCCTGCTTTACATGATTGTACCTGGTTACACTACCAAGTAGTCAACATGAAAGGATGAATACAGGAATCAGGGATTAGGACTTCTTACAAGTGTAAGGTACAGAAAGATTACCCAGGGTCATAGAGGTGACAAGTAGAACTACAGATCAAACTCAGATTTGAATTAAATTAAATTTGAGTATATGAAGAAGTGACCCTGTTCTCATGGGCTTCCACCAGCTAAATTATACTGTTCTGATGGCACCCGTTTGCATTGTTCCAAGCATAAAACAAGCTGTCCTTTCTTTGTAACATGGAGTATCAAGTTGGTCATTCGGGACTCTGTTGTCCTGTGCCAGAGACTTCTCCACAGGGAAAACTGAAAAGCCTTCTTCTCATCTCCCAGCTACTCCCATGAAAGTTAACTTGTGAGCAATTAATTGAATTAAGAACTCAGCAGCTTTCTACTTGCATTCCAGACTTGTTCCATCTGCTCAGGAAGGAAGGCAGATGCTGAAGAAATGTCAGCATTGTGCTGATTGTATGGGGTGGTAACAAGCCTGCTGTGTTAACTCCCTCTGTTCAGCTTTGGTAACACACCTTCTACTGTGTCTAGAAGGTCTCTGTCTCTTAGTCCCCCCTTTACACCTTCTCCTCCAAACCTGTTCTTCTATCAGAAGAATCTTTCTGCAGGACACCTGATGCTGACATTCCACTTCTTGTTGCAACTCATCAGTGATTCCCCCAAGAACCTTCAAGCTAGAATTCAAACTTCATTACCAGGCCTGGCATGACCTGGTCTGTTCACCCATCCGGGTTTGTCCTCTGCCACACTCATTCATACTCAAAAACAATAGTATCTGTAGTTCTGTGAAAGTGTTGTGCTGTATCCCGCCTTCCAATTATTTGCATAGTTCTAGTCTGTGCTTCCCTAACTTGTCTACTTACCCAACTCCTATCCATCCAACTCTAAACTTCTGACATTCCTTTTGGGAAACTTTCTTGAGCTGCTCAAGACCACTTCCCATGCTGTTCTCTGCTACACTACACCTCATATATGCTTTTATATGTTTTTACGTGCATGTTTTTACTGCTGTTTACATGTTTACACATCTATTTCCTGGGCTACATTCATGATTTCTGAAGATAGCAGAGCCCATGCCCTATTCATCTTTGTATCTCAGCACCTAATATGGCCTGAAAATGTTTAATAATGGATACTGGGTGAATAAATGAATAATTGTGACACATAGTAAAGTGCATGTAAATAGGAAGAAATCAAAAGAATTTCAAAGACCCTAGTTAGGGGGCTTATCCAATGGCTGGTATGGTAAAATTACTAGCTGCTATTTCTCAAAGGCCTCCGACATCGCCATGCGCTTTAAACACACCATCTCTAATCTTCACAACAATTTGCAAGGCAGATGTCATTATTCATCTTCTGTAGATCAAGAATCTGAGGTCCACAGATCATATCGGTCAGTGGAAGGTCCAGTACTAGAATTCAGGGCTTCTAGTTCACAACCAGTGCTTTGTATACCACACCCCCTTTCCTTCTGCTCATTAAAGGAAGCAGCCCTTGTAGGGCTGGAACTCCTCCCAGAACTATAGAATTGGCCCACTTAGGGCCCCTTCTCCCTAACCAAATGGACAGAAATTAGCCTTGTTCCTGGGACCAGCTACCCAGGAGCTGTGGGTAGGGTCCAGAGGGCTCACACAAGTATTTTGAAATGTTCATTGAAGATAACTCAGTCACAGGGTTTGCTATCTTTTCAGGTAAAGCCAATTGGAGCACGATCATGGCACCAAGCATTTGCATTGCTATTATCATGGTGGGCATTTTCTCAATGTGTTACTTCCGGCAAAAGTGAGTTGGTTACGCCTGCCTCTGTGTGTGTGTGTGTGTGTTTCATGATAATAGCTGTTGCTATGAGTCAAAGAAATGATACTCATAATTGCTGGTGGCATATTAAATTTATTCCTTTATAGGTGACAGTAAATTATGTTAAATTCTTAAAAATATTCTACCATTGACCTAGTAATTCCTAAGTAGAAATCTATTCTATCATAGGTATGTGCAGATATTCTGTGGCAAATATGTTCACTGAAATATTGTTCATAAAAGGAAAACAATACGGAACCACCTAAATGCCCAATTACATGGGATTAACTAAATCACAGTATGTCTCATACTGTATAGCAATATTATGCATCCATTAAAGATATAGAAAAAAATAAATTGCATATTTGCTATATTACATTTTAAAAGCAGCTTGAAAAACATGTACTTGTTTTTTAAAAATACTGCATACACACACATACAAAATAGTTATTATTAAATTTGATTGTAACATAAAAAGCCAAAATAATATGACTTAAACTAGTTAAGTTTCTCACCTGGGTAAGGGAAGTAAACTCAGATGAAGGGCTGGTATAGTAGCTCCATAGTCATCAAGGACCTAGGTTCTTTATCTTTCTGCTCCACTATCCTGACATTGGCTTCCATCAGTTTCACCTCATGGTCCAATGGCTGCAGGAATTACAGCCATCATGCCTGCATTCTACAACTACCAGGAAAAGGTGCCCACACTTCCATTTCAGATTACTTCACATGAAGAGGTCACACAGGATACTTTTGTTTACATCTCCTTGGCCAGAACTTGGTGAGGCAGTGAGGTTTAAAATTATGGTCTTATAGCTGGGCTTATTGTCATCCCAATAAATTAGGGTCCTCTTCCTAAGAAGGGGGGAAAATATGTATGATGGCACTTAACACTCTCTGCCTCATGAATGTAGACTAAAATATTACTGGCAGTTATATCAGGGAATAAAATCATAGGTGATTTTAGTTTTATTTAACTGTATTTTCTAAAATTTCTTTAAACTTGTATTACGAGAACTTTTTAATGAGTTAGTTATGCAATACAAAGTTTTCTTCAGATGTTGCGTAAAGTAAGAGAAGAGGTAAAAATAAAACTAGCTCAAAGTCATCCTGCTAGTCATTGAACTTGTCTGAAAGCTTTACATTTATTTAAACTCCCATGTGTGATAGGTACTTCAAAGCAGAGCTCTCTTTAGTGAGATTTTGAAAAAGTTTAACTCAAAAAAGAGTTAACTAGGATCACATGCATTCTCTTCAAGGAAATAGTATCAATCGGGGTCAAGGCTTCTGCTGTTTAAAAAAAAAAGAAAGAAAGAAAAAAAGAAGCCCCAAATTTTAGTGGCTTTAATAAAATAGTTTATTTCTCTTCCATATGAGTCCTGAGGTAAGTCATCCAGGTTGGTTGGTAACTCTGCTCCACAGTCATTTAGGGACCCAGTTTTCTTCCATTTTATTGACCCATCATTCCTTGGGTACTGTCCTCAACTACATGATCTATACTAGGTCACAGGTACCTCCGCTCACATTTCTTTGGAGAAAAACTAGTCACATGGCCATATCTCTTGCTTCAAAGGGCTAAACATATCCCAGAAGCTTATCATTTTTATTAAACATCAAAGCTTATTAAAGTTTTTAAAGATGTTTCATATTAGTCTTGATTTTTAAAATATAGCCAAAATATTTAAGGCACATGCATTTATAACAGCTTAAGGATATTTCTTCCTTCCACGTCATAAAAGTAATATAAACTTATTAAAAAACCCAGATATGTAGGAAAAACACAAGTACTTGGTAACAGTTTGGATGTTTCTCTATGGTACTTTTTTCTTGGAGTTTTTTTTACATAGTTTATGTTGAAGTTATTTATATCATTTGTATCTTTTTTTTTAGCATAATAATTTACCTGTCATTATAAACTCCTTATAAACTTTGTAATTAACTAAGTACTAAGCCCCCAAAGGTAGGCTTCTTGTTTGCTGTTCTATCTCAGCGCTATGCTGGTCATATATTAGGGGTTTGATCCATGTCTTGCCGAATGAGTGCATAGTTGGATAGTGACAGCTGAAAGTTCCATCGTTTATTTAGCAAACCCCAAGTGGTTGCATCACGACTCTTTATTGTCTATCCAAACTTCACAAAAAACTAGTCCAGCCTTGGATGATGCATCATCTTTTTCAGTGTTTACATTTTACTCATTTGCATAACTCTACACTGAACCCCTCCACTGAAATCACAGCACTAAGAACCTGTGCTTCCATGCCACCGCATACACAATTAACCAGCTGTCAATGTTTTCTTTATCTATAGGGTATTTGTTCTCCTTTCAGCCCTCAGACCTCAGTGGTGCAGCAGACAAATTCCAGACCCAGCAAATAGCACTTGGGCCAAGAAATATCCCATTGTGGAGGTAAGGTATAAAGCCTCAGTGGTCAGTTAATGGGGTTCCAGAGAGCAGCTGAGTTTCCCATCGCAGTTGGGAAGAAACCTGGGTACTTAGATCCTATGAAGAAGCTGACGTCATTCACGCCTAGGTTACAATCTGAGTCATCACTCCCAGGTACAGGAATTTTCTGAAGCTTATGACCAAAAGACTAAGACTCATAGCTTTTCATTTCTCTCTATGCCTTATGTTCCCCTCCTCACAGAACTTCAAAAGAAATAAAACAGCAAGTATTTTTGCCATTTGCTGAGCACTAGCCTGAGAACTGACTCATCCAAATTCAAGAGAATTGAAGCTTTACCATGACGTTCCCAGTCCTGTCTGAGCATGGAACAGATAGAGCTCAGACTATTTTGGTTTTGGCAGGAAGCCAGTAAGTCATTCCATTGTGCTTGGAAAAGGTTTTAAAGGAGGCTGCTAAGCTGGCAAATGAGAGAGCTAGAGTAAAGAAAGCGAAGGGAGCTGCCACTGTGCAATCTAAGGAGGTTAAGAACAGCTCACAGTGGGCACGATGGCCTATCTCTGGCGGAAGGTCTGGAAGTTGAAGGCATCTGAATATGGAGCAAGACTGCATTTACAGAGAGCAAAGGAGGAGAAAAGTGGTATGCCAATACTCTTCCCATTGCTGGGGGAGTTGGCAGCCCCACACTCCCTTTCTCAAACCTTATAGCCCTTCTCCAAGATGCTTCTCAATTACCCAGTGCATTCTACCATCCACGCCTTTCTGCAGGTCAGAAGCCAGTGGGACCAGCCACTGCTCAGAGCTGGTCTCAGCCATGTCTGCCTCAGTAGGAATTTAAGTCATTGCAGTTTAGTGCCTTTGAAACAAGGCTTGGATGCAAACTCCACCTCTGCCACTATATGGATGACTCTCAGGCAATTTGCCTGATATCTGAACCCTAGTTTCATCCTCTGTAAAACAGGAATTGATGTTATCTCCCATGTATACTGTTGTGAAGATTAAGTAAGATGCCATGTAAAGCACATAGTCATACAAGGCAAAGATAACTCACTTTCTTCCCAGGAAGATGCATATTCGACGTCTCTTCTGTTGAGGGGTTTTGTCCCTGTTAAGTTATAATAGCGAGAACAGTAATAACAGTAGCTTATATAAATATGTGTGTATATATTTTTAATTATTTTTATATGTACCTACATGATCTATAATTATATATATGGTATATGTGTTTATACATACATGATATATATTTTTATATACGCCATTATATTAAGTTGTACTATTATCATTTTTCAGATGAGGAAACTGAGGCAGAGGACTAAGTAACTTGCCTAACGTTAGTCAGCTAGTAAATGGTGGTTCCTGAATTCACATAAGAGTAGAATGTGCTGGCCACCATTGTACTTTACATTCTAAAAGATCTTTAAGTACAGGTATGAGGGGAGTCTTTCTAAAAGTCAGCACCTCCACGCTGAATAGACTAAAGAGGTGTTCACATACAGGGCCCTCGCTTAGTGGCAGTATTGTGATGACCTGTGGGAATGCACTTTGTAAGGACACCACTGCTAGTTTAGAGGGGATTCAAGTACTAGTTGTTGAACCAGCTAAGCTTTAAGATCTCACTCTTCCAATGCTAAGATTCCACAGTCCCTTGTCCTAAAATCCTGAAATAGCAGAGTGGGAGGCAGCTCTGGGTCAGTCACAGACACCTGGCTTTCAAGCTAGTAGCTTTGGGATCATGAGCTCCATTTGCCTCTGCCTGAGCATGATTAGGGCCCATAAAAAGCCTAGAAAAAATGCTATGAAAGACAAAGGGTTAGAGAAAAGAACATAAGGAAAAGGCAACAGAAGCCATACACAAACCTAAAGCTATATAGTATAAACATGTTCATTGCGCCATTATAAACAGAAGCCAAAAATTAGGCATAATGTAATCTGCCACCAAGGGGGCAGGTTAAACATTTGAGTATATCTATACAATAGGATATTATGCAATTATTTAAAAAAAAAAAAAAGGATCTATGATCTATGTGTGTCTAAAAATCTCTAAGATATTTAAAAGTAAAAAAAGCAGTTTGTAATAACTGTCTAAAGTGAATTCTTATTTATATAAGGAGGGAAGATTTTATATACACATATACACATTTTTGCATGTGAAGATGTTTCCGAAAGGCTACATATGAAACTAACAATTGTAGTTGCCTTTGGGGAGAGGGTTGGAAATATGAGGGCCATTTAATTTTCATTGCTAATTTCCTTTGAACTTTTAAGTTTTCTCACAAAACTGCATATTTCTTTTGCAAAAATAACTAGTAAATTAGAAAAAAAATTTAACTTAAACAAGGCATCTGCAACAAAGGCCTTGAGGCAGCCTCAGAACCCTATGTTGCTTGACCCTTGAAGAGACTAGACTGTGAAGATGGCTCTCTTGGTAGGCTGAGGCCACGATAATCTTTCTCCAACAAAACATGTTTTCAGTTCTCAGACCTTAAACCCCCCATTTCTTAAGCTGTGGGTAAAAAAAAAACACGTGTCTTAAGGCTCTGCAGGAAAAGACCAAATCATAAAGGGCACCACCATAACGTCATCCATTCTGAATTTGTAAAAGCTTAAAAACGTGTCAGTGAGGTAGCTGAGGGAACGGTGGTCTAAGAAGCCTTGCCCAAGGACTTATCAGCTAGGGGGCCTGCTTTATAAAAGCTGAGGAACAGCCTTTATCAATACTGTCAAAACTTTCAAGAAGGCAGGATGAACACCTTATCTTGTGATAAGGAGCCATTTCCACACCCTGTGCAATCTTTCTTACATCTGGCAGCTGTGCTTCCCTCTGTGTTGCAAGCCA